AAGACTGGAAAAGGCATTAAGACCTCCCAGATTTCTCTCGCTTTCAGTGATGGAATCGGTCAGTTCTGTGCTTCCAACAGCATGGAATAGTTTCCCTTTGTTAGTCGTTACAATTCGTAGTGTCAGTCTCCAAAAATGTTGGGATGGTGTTACAGGCCTTCCTATACTGAAAACGTCTCCTCTGGGTCAATTCCAGTGCAAAGAGAGATTTGTTACTTAAGTACGAACTACGCTATTCATCATCTCTGAATAAATAGAAAGTAGAATTCAAGCCTGTCAGTCAGCAAACTTTATGAGCGTGCTTGAAAAAAAGAGAAAATATTTCATTTAGTGTGCACTTTGTGTTGTGACTTTTTTGAGCACAGTGAATAAATTGTAGGGAGCAGAGATAGTGAGCAGTGATATCTAATGGCAGATTTGCTCTTGAAAAGTCTTCTTGAAATGCTGTTATAAAGCTATACAGTGCTTTGGAGCCCTGTCAGGTGTTCCTTAAACTTCAGCGTTGTGAGTTTCCAGACGAAGACAAAGCCTGAAAGGAGAGACTGGGAGAGGAACTACTGAAAATGAATTTCTGTTTGGAAATGCTCCAGCTAACAGAGAAGAAAGCTTCCGAGTCAGGAAGCGTGCTCTTGAGCAGTAGTATGAAAGGAATTGTAAACCTGAAAAATTGCTCCCCATTGTGTCCGCTTCATTTGCAGTATTTGAACTCATTAAAAACACATAAAAATGTTAATCAGGAAAGGAAATGATCCCATACGCTGAAGACACAGCTTGCTAAATTCCTGTGTTTTGTACGCTAGCCTCTTGTAGCACAAATGTCTTAGCCAGAAGTGAACATTCAAAGGATAAATCAGTTACTACAGGTGTATTTATTTATTTTTTTTTAATTTGAGGCGAAGATGGTAGATCTTTTTTCCTTTCTAATTTATGGCTTGAGTACCCTACCCATTGGAGCCAACCATGGCATTCCAGTTTGACAATCCGTCTCCCACAGAGACCACAGGAAAGACTTTTTTACAGCCTTGACTTTAGCTAGCTTTTTGGTCAGTTGCAAGATGATTTTAATAGAAGTAAGATTAGATTATTTATGTGTGAAATAAGGTATTATTACGATATTGCAATGTTGGTTTGTAGATTGTGGGTGTGTTGTTATATCATAGTATGGGATCACGGCAATGACTTTGGAGGTTTGACTCAGTTGCCAACACGTAGCCTCTGCTGCCATTTAAGATTCCCTGAGTTATGTGAGATGTCCCCTGCTGGTGATAGATATGACACAGGACTGTGTGAAACCCTTCTGAAAAGGTAGCTGAAAGCCAAGCGAGACCCTAGGTCATCCAAAATGGCACTAGATGCTTAAGTGTGGATGACCGAATCAGACCATACAAGTTTGAGAGCCAAGTCTGCCCTTACTGCACAAGTCAGGAGCAGCTCCACTGAAGCCACTGCAGTTACTGGTATGAAGGAAAGGTTTGGTTTGCCCCTGAAGAGTCATACTGTTTCACAGTTGTCTCAGTTTCTGAGAAGTGCCTCATTTTAAGGTGGACATGATTAGGAAATATGATTTCTGTGCCGTTGTCAATTATCTGTGCCATCTGACTAGAGAGTGAGAAAGCTTGTTGTCATGACAACAAAAGATGGTGAGGTGTTTACTTGAAAGTGAGTTCTGCACAAGCGTTCACATCAAGCTATGTCTGAAGATCAGTGTTTGAAGAACTGTTCTTAAGAGAGTCCATTCCTCCTTTAAAATGTTTGCTATGTTTCCCCAGGATATATGGAAGACGTCTTTTTGAAAGCATAGCCCAGGACATAGTGTACGCTTTTATTTTCAAAAGGCACTCTTTAGTTCAGTAATGGAAATCCTACCTAGACTACAAATAGCGGCATATGGAAAAGCCAGCCAGTCAACTGTCTGCTGTTTATATAAAAGGAGTTTGTAGCGAAGAGACTTCCTTTTAAAATGAATCATATGGTAACTCACTTTTATAATCCTTTGATATCTTTTTGGCTTTGAAAGATATTTGGGTTTAAGAGCATGCTTTGTGATATTAATTTTATCTCTCTGAGCTTTCTTGTATAAATCTGTGCTGGGGCAGAGGAGATTATTAATTCTTTAGAAGTGCCTTTTATACCATGTATACTGAAAAATTAAAGTGTATGTTTGATATTCAAATGGGGCAAGCTATTGGTTTTCTCTATGAGTAAATATACCATGTATAAAAAGAACTATATGAGTGCAAGATACCATTAAATAGTTATCTGATTGCCTCTTGTAGTAGTTGCCTTTTAGTATACTTTCAACTGCTTACTTTCTAGAGAGGTCTTCATTACCTACTTAAGCATATGATGAAGGTGCATTTGGTTGTTTTAACTTAGAGTAAGCAGAGAGTGTTATACTGTCAAAGAGATGCATGAGCTGAAATGTCCAGTAATATTATTTGAATTTCTTTACTCACAGGTTTGGTTTTGATGAATAGGTACTAAATATAATGAAAACAGATCCTTTTATTTTAAATGTTTGTATTTCTGCAAGTGCATAATTGTAATTAAGAAAGCTAGAGGCAGTCAGATAGGAGTTGCATGTGGGGAAGAAGTTGATCAATGCTTAAGGAGGACTTGCAGTTTTTACACAATAGGAAAATCTAGCTGAGTCATTTCTTATATATTCAGTGCTATTAATTGAAATTTGAATTGGAAATGAAGAAGTTTCAATAAAGATTTAGTACATCTGAAGTCAGCTTTGGTTTCTGTTGTACAGCAGCTAGTTCAACTGTGTTGTGGCCCAAGAGTAGTATTATAGTAACTCCCGATTAAAATCAATATTGATAAGAGAGAGAACCTGACACTTTGAGGCAGATCAGGATCTTGAAAAACCAAATCTCTAGTTAGCGCTCTAAACCATATCTCTGTGTTTGTCTCTTAAATATTTCAATAGTCCTTTAACTAAAACAAGAGTATGTAAATTGTTACTTTGAATTATGCAGCATGGGAGATAACTATCTTTTTACTTATTTCAACTAGCAGTAATACGTCAAAGATCGTTATAAAAGGCTGCTTAGGTTAATAACAGGGACAGTGTCAGTGATGGTGCAGAAAGCAACTGGAATAAGACCAGAAGAGACTAGTGGCATGACTGGATTTGTCAGACATTTGTAAACATCAATGGCAAAACATATATTAATCATCTGTTTTTCTTGCAAGCTTAAAAATTGTAGACTTGTGCCAGTTTTCTGTACCACTCTCTTCTAGTGTCATACCTGATGAGTTAACTATAACTCATTTCCTGTGTCAATAAGACCAACTGGCTGTGTTGGTAATTTGCCACACGTCTAGCACTGATACTCCCTCGTCCTTCCTCCTTTACTGGCTCTACTTGTTAGCTCCAACTGTTAGGTCTTACCATAAATTGGTTGTATAAGACAGCAGCCAGCTTCTGGTGTCGCTGTCAAAAGGCTGTTGATTTTATTGGGTGTCTTGAGGCCTTAGGAATACAGACATGACTGCATTTTCTTGCCTGTCGCCTGCAACTTGGCTAATCTGAATTCTCTTAAAAATATTAGGCTTGCTTTGTCAATAGTCAGATAACGGCTGACTATATGAGCATTCATATACATAACCTTGAGGCTATATGAGAGTGAGGGTATGCGTATGAAGATGTAATAGATGACAGCAAACAAATTACTGGACTTCAGCTGCCCAGATCAGTTTGCCTCCCTATGCTGTTCCTGTCTTTCCTGCACATCTACTTCAGTTTCCTGTGTCAGACAAGCTGGGGACTGGACGCATGGTCCATCCCATTTCCATTTCTCCTGCCTTAAGCGTGATCGAGGAAGGCTGGAAGGAACAAGGTAAGAGGGCACCAAAGAGATAGGTGGTGTGGTGAGGTGTGAGCAGGATGCCAAACTGGGAATGAAAAGACAGGCCTTGTTTACTTTGGCTGTTAGACATGGGTGATGCAAAGGGAATTTTACTCCTGTGTGCTTTCCCTAGAGTCCCAGAAGGCTGGAGAATAGGAAATGGGGCTCTGACATAAACTTCCGCTTGCATTGGCCACATGCGTATGAAACCACTAGTAATGCTAAATAGTAGCTTTTTAACATATAACTTGCAGGTTTTGTGCATGAAGATACTATAATTATGAGTAATCTTATTTGTCTCCACTCTTCAAAAGTCAAATAATTCAGTGTATGAATTGACAGAATGTCTTACAACTCTGACATCCTTTCTCTAAGATTTTCTGTACTGTTTCCTGTTCTTACCTCTGGGGATTTCCCTTCTTACTGTACTACTCTCTGTGCCATGAGTGGAATTTGGAGAGCAACCTCTCTATTGGCCAGCTGGTACTAAGCCAGCCGTCGTCTTTCATAGCCCTCTGGAGCCTACCTTGGATCTTTTTTGCTTGGAAATTGTCCCATTGATTGTAAATGTGCTAAATGGCAGAAATTCTGGATAGGGAGCCTCTTTGTTCTCTCTGGTGATAGCAGCCGGCAAAGCTGAGCAAGAAGAAGCATATCTGATGTATTGACATGTGACTTCTGGTACGTTCTCTGTACAAAAGACAAAGATATGTACAAAGTCAGTTCCTCTTGCTCTGCAATGCTCAAAGCTTTCAGAAGCCAACTGAGAAAATGACAGCTGTGATGTTGGAGAGTAAGCAGAAAGAGCCTTGTTCTTTTCCCTTCTCAGCCAGGAGCAGCTGCAATGAAATGTCTACAGTTTATAATGCATTGGTTTCCATTACAGGCAAGAAAGAGACGGCCAGGTCAAGTACCAGAGTAATGGTACCTGTACATAGATTGTATTTGATGTTAGTCCTTCCTACTGCTCACATCAAATATTTAATTTTCTTTGGTATGTAAGCATACGTAAGCTGATAAACAGTCATCCAAATGTAGAAATGAAGGGATTGCTGAGTGTCATAAAAAAGGAGTGTGTTAAGTGTATCCAGGAAGTTAGGTATATGGGTAAGGGATGCTTCAGTATCTCTTTTTGCCTTACAGGAAGAATGCAAACAAATACTGGCTCGGCAGAAATCCAGTTCCCAGTCTGATTCTCATGATGATGAGATTTCCCCTCCTCCTCCCAACCCAGTGGTGAAGGCCCGACGCAGGAGAGGGGGAGTCAGTGCAGAGGTGTACACAGAGGAAGATGCTGTTTCTTACGTTAGAAAGGTAATGTGCTGCTCTCTTATCTGATTCTAAGATGTACAAGGCAATCAAGTAACTCGCTCTCGTTTGCTCGTCATTTGGAACGCTTGGAGTCATGGGTCAGGCCGTAGGTAGTGCCCTTGTGCCAGCATGTCCACAGCTTGATCACTTCCCTCTGGCTCAGGTTCCTTTGCTGCCCCCTGGTCTAAGGACTTTCCCCATCTATGTTGCTGCAGCGTTCTGTGTCCTTTCCTTTTTTTGAGATGTGTGTTGCTAAGCCATTTTCCCCTTTAACCATGTGGCTATTTCTCTGTCATTCTGTTGATATTCACAGACCCCTGCAGTTTCTGAGTTTTGGCAGAACCTCACAGTTTCAGCATGTAGCCCTTTTTATTGCTGCGTTTCCTTCTTCTTCCCCCCAAGTCATTTCTAGCTCAGTTTTTCTCCTAACCTAGGTCGTTCACGTTTTCCTAGACAATTCAGATATATGGTTCCCGTGTTGGTTGGGTACTGTTTAACCCAATGGTTATGGGAAGTCTGTTGCCCTAATTTGGGTCATTTTATACGGCCATTGTCTTTGAAGAAATGCCAGCCGTGAATTAGGTATAAATGCAGCACAAATTGGAATATTGCAGTAAAACAAACATTATTGAAACAAGATATTAGAATATAAGAGATACACGAGGGAACTAATGGGAGAGGAGAAATTTGCTCAGAGCTTGCAACTGTTTATTGAGTTGTTCAGTTTGGGACTTGTCTGTGTATGTCATTGGCAAAAATAGAAGCGCTAGCACAGACCAGGGTCTGACATTAGCAAAGCCTCCATCTTTCAGCAGTTGTTAGATCTGCTCCTCGGTTATTGACATGAAAATAAGTGCTTCTTAAAAATAATATGTAAAGTATACATTTGTGAGCCATATGAAATATTTAGTTCCCTAAAAATGCATTTCAGCTCAAGGAGAATTTTCTCTTTGGAAGCCCGGCATCTAGTTTAACAAGTCCTTTCAAATGGATATTTTGATTGGGTCAGAAGCATTTATTCCGTTTGAATATGATTAATCTTTGGCTTTAAGAAATCATCATCCAGCATCTCCGATGGGACGCTTGCCAACAAATTTTCAGAAGAGCTGTGCGTTTGGTGAGCCTGTGTAGCAATGCTGGCCTTGCTTTTGGAGGCTGAACCCTTTCAAAAAGCTTGATCTGCAAAGTAAAATAGAGCTGACCTCATGCTTAACTACAGTAGAAGTTTGAGCATCCATTTTCATTTAAAAATAAACCATTCTCCGTAAACTAAACGAACTGTACTTACGATCATTGCCATGGGAAGATGCGTAATAAAATGTTCTAAATTTGGTCTCTGTTGCACAAAGAGCTCCCAGGGCATAGCTCCCTCCAAAAGAGGAAATCCCATAAGCAGTAGAACCCATGAATCCTGATTTTCCATGGCACGCTCCTGTATGGATTCTCTGCTGTTTAATAAATGGTGACTAAATGTTGCAATGTAATTTATGCTTCTCGTCTTTAACCACCTATTTCACAAAATATCTAGCTACTTTATATCCTTGCTATTTCTTAATAACTCTGTAGAATTGGTTGCAATTGGCCAAAGGTTTCATAGCTTATTAAAAGAAGGACAAACAGGCATTACAATAGTGTATCTCATATTTCTTTAAGGAGCTAGGCAAGAAATGCGTTTCATAAGGTTGACAGATTCTACTAATGTGCTTTTGCACATGCCTGGAATAGCTTTAAACCAAAAAGCTTTTTCTTTATGGGAATACATTTTGTCAATCACTGTTTTCTGGCAGAATACTTTTTCCCTTTGCAGTCAGACGTGCTTTTGTCATCTACTTATGTTACAAATTCATTGGCCACTCTGGGGTTTTCTATCCCAAGAAACAAAGAATTAGGAAAGCCTTTCATCCGAAAATCAATTAGGGAAGAGTATTCTTGTGGCAGTTAAAAATACTTGCAAGTATCCAGTAAATTTTAAAAACACTGTGGTCAAACTATTAATGCCCTGTACTGTTTAAAAAATACTTGCGTGACATTTTAAATGCTGCTTTGAAATACTTAATAGTATCCCTCGTAAAAACTTGTAAAAGAAGGTAGCATTTGTCTCTGTTTAATATGGGCTCATCTGACTCTCCTGAAAATCGATGGCAGTATTCCTTCTTACACCTGCGGGTAACTTTTTTAATGTTCCTAATGGAACCTGAAATTAACAACTGTATTTCCTTTGTTCTTTCAGCAATGATGTCAGTAAGCCCTGGCAGTAGGATTGATAGGCAGGAGTTGATCTAAAGTCAGAAGAAGCAATACAGATCGTAATCTGCGTGTTCTGTGACTGCGGCTGCTATGATTTTAAGTTCTTAGGAACTGACTGGGTTTAAGTAATAATGGGGATGATTTCCTGTCAGGCTGTAGATGCTGTAAGGAGCATAGAACTAGCATTGGGAGATTTTTGCCTCAGTGCTCCATCTTCTGCCATCAGCACGTGAATCCCATGATGTTGCAGATGTGCATTTGTGACAGAGATTTCTGGAATATAGAAATAAAGGGAGACACTAGGAGGACAAATCATGAAACTAATTTTAAATATGTAAAAAACAAGGCAAAGGATGTACTAGACTATTGCAAACCGATGGATTTTTAGATAGTAGCCAGCCAGGAAGGATCACCAGCTTGAAATCAGATTTTGGATAGAAACATATCTGGGTGATAATCCAATTCAAAAGATGCCTTGAAGGGCTGAGCGATAGGATGAATAGTGCTAATGGCAGTGCAATGAGTTATGTCACTTGAGAGAAAATCAAAGTAGATTTAACTTTGTGATCTGCATAAACATCAGGCATGGTTCCATTTTGAAGGAGCACAGAGAAAGATCTCCATGGAGGGTTATTTGATTGCTTCGTTCCTGAAAGTAAAGAAAGCGGTATTTGTCAACGCATCTGACGTAGGCTGTAGTTACCATCTAACAGGAAAAGAATCTTGTTGTAAAGATGATTATCTGCTTGAAGAGAATGTGCAGTGGTTACTTAAGTGTGATATAAAAAACGATCAAGTGATTATCCCTGACTTTACATTTTGATTGGATGCCTGGTTACTGTGATGCCTAGAATCTTTCCTATGTTTCCTGATTCCCTGTCCCAACAGACCCACCTGGATCTCTCCCTCTTGGCTTTCCCTGCTACTGATTGAGACTGAGAAAGGCTGGTCTATACCATGCTATAATCATCCAGAAAAGCAGGAGTTGAATGACTTAATGATTTAGATTATTTACCTATTTAGCTCATCAGGAGTAAGCTGAACAGCTAGGGTATTTTTAACATAGCAAGAGTTCAGGACTGCAAGTCAGTCCACGGTTTGTATGATGCGAGAAAACCCTAAGAATAAGATACTAGCTAAATGCTCATTTTATTTAACTTTGAGGAATTTGAACTTTTAACTAAATTAGATTACATATGTCACTCTAATACAAATATGCGGTTTATACATACAAACTTATTTAGACTTTATTTTGAGTAGACTAAAGATAGCAACAGTCAATACAAGCAGTGTCTGTGAAGCTACAGTTTAACTCTGGGGCTTTTAGGTCTCCACAGTGCAGTATTTTTCCTTAAAATAAATCTAGATCAATTTTTTATTTGTGAGACTTGATTCTCTATCAGTTTCTTCATTTGAGACATCCTTCCTCTGGTTGGATGGGTAATATCTTTCCAGGATGAGGAGAGCAACAAACGCAAGAACAGGAACTGGCCAAGAGAATTGCCCGCATTAAAGAATCCTCTCTTCTTTTCCTTCCTTCCTACTCCCTTTCTCCAAAACACTAACAAAAATTCAAACTAAAGGTGTGTACTCATTCAGAGACCCCTGGGATTTTCTTGGCATAATTCAAAGGTTAAAAACAAGAATAATAAAACATTCAGTTATGCTGCCTCTTGTTCTGTAGGTCAAAAATGCTAAAGCAGAATGAAAAGAGACTAAATCCTTGTTTATATTTTGGAATATAATATATATATTTATATTTTCCTTCTTTGAATTTCCTTTATAGACTTTTTTTTTTTTTTAAATAGAGAGAATGGTTATTTTCTGCAAAAGGACTTAAAACTACCTTTCCATCAGCATATGTAGTAACTGAAATAAGGTAGAAATACTATTTCTTTCACAAGAAAATGTCCATTATCAGACCTTTTTTGTACAGTAATTAAAAAAAAGCAAACATATGTTGACCTTTAAATAGAAGCAAGGTTTATTTAACACGTAATAGTTTTCCTAGGTTTGATTCTGACCAGCCATAATAAAACTATAAAAGAAAACATGTTACTTACGCAGAAGTTAAGAGGCAATGTTCACATTCCTTATTACTAATGTCAAAGAACATCTTTTACAAATCATAACCTTGTTAGAAATTTTTTACATCATCATAAAGTCTCTGATTGGCAGAGCAAGGTACTTGACATACACAGAATATTAGTGTCTTTACTAGCATCTTATGAAAATGCTTAGCATCTGTTCAATCTAACATTGCAAAAGTCTGATTAAAAAAAAAAAACTTCACCCACTACCAAAACATACCTCTGAATTTCCGTGTATGTTCTGACCAGACAAATTCACACATAACAGGGCTTTTACCTTCTCCTCAATTAACAAATAAAAATGCCTCTTCATTCTCAAATGCAACTTCTTATTTTTTGCTGTGAAGCTAACGCACAGAATTTTGACCCAGGTGGGCCTCTCAAGAGCTCAGTTCTTTCCACCACCACAACCATTACTGAAATGCTTTATGTATTTAACACATTCTTACTTTTTACCTAGAGAAATTTTGCTCATTCTCTGGTTTCAAGAGTGGGTTGCTTCTGATACTGTTTGGGGAGGGGAAGAGTATGAAAAGTGTTCCCTTCAGTTTGAGAGATTTGAAAGGAGAGTACATAGCTGCCAGTGCCTGCTAATTATTTCCCCTTGTACTGTCAATGGTATTTTATGGATACCCTTCTCTCCGTTCACCCTGGGTCTTATATATCTTTTCTGGTTGTCATATTGGGAATATCAAGTCTTACCCTAACATTATCAAAACTGTAATTTATTTCTTTCCTAGTGGCTTTATATTAAATCCTAAATCTGTCTCACTGTTTGAAATCAAGCTGCATCCATTATCTTGAATAATGGATTTTTTTTTTTTATAGATTTCAAGATCTGTAAAGAAATACAATCAGACATGTAATTTCCCTTCCTTCTTTTCCCCTACAGGTTATTCCCAAGGACTATAAAACTATGACTGCTCTGGCAAAGGCCATCTCCAAGAACGTGCTCTTTGCTCATCTTGATGACAATGAACGAAGGTATGAGGTGTTTTATGATTTAAAGGATCTTGTAGCTTGACCTGAAGACAAGAAATTGTATTACATTTTAGATTAGAAAGCTCCTCAGGGATCAGAACTGGTCTCATTGATGTGTTTGAAGCCCCCAACGCTCACGATATTATAACAAAAGGTAGAATCACAAGCTAAAAAAGGGAAAGAACAGATTAGAATTATTTAGACACATTAGATGTTTTCAGCAGCTGGTGTCCTGATGAACTTAGTTCTAGGGTACTTATAGAATTGGTTAAAGCAATCTCAGAAGTATTTGTAGCTGTTTCTGAGAACTCAGATTAGACAGGTCAAGTACTGGAAGAGAGGGAAAGAAAAAAATGTGATATCTATAAAGGGATAAAAGAGAATTACAGATAAATCATTTTGCTCTTTGAAAAACTTCTGGAACAAACAAATTACATTTAAGCACCTGAAAGAGACCAAGGAGTTCAGTAACAGCCAGCATGATTTTTCAAAAACTTGAAAATGTCTTTGTATAGCAGAATAGCAAGTCTGGTAGATGGGGAAGGCACAACGGAGGCCGAACAGCTTGTCTTTAATAAGGTTGTTGACGCTAATCCTTGTGACAGTTTCTAAACAATCTAGGGAAACATGATTTGAATGAAACCACTGTGCAATCTATGCAAAACTGATTGGATAGCTATACCCAAATAGCAACTATCAATGGTCCATCATTATAATGGAAAGGTATATTAAGGTGGTGTTTGTTTTGGGTCTGATTTTCTTAATTATTTTCATTAATGGTCTCAGTGGTGGCATGGAGTGTGACTGTTGAATTTTTAGATGACAAAGATGAAAAGGATGGCTAAAATATTGGGAGGAGGCAAGACAAGAATTCGGAATTATGTTGACAAATCGGACACGTGATCTAGTAAAAACAGGATGGATTGTTGCTGTGCCAAGCACAGAGAACTATACTTAGGCAGGAAGAACATCTGTATAACTATATCAGAAACAACAGTTTGATAGTTCTTTGAAAAAGGATGCAGAACTTATTGTGGATCACGGTCTGAACATTAAGTCACTAATGTCAAGCTATTGTGAAAAAGGGTAACATTTTACTAGGAGTGACTAAACAGGAGAATATGCAAGACATGAGAAATGATCTTTCCTGTCTGGCTAGCGCTGGAAAGATTTCAACTGGAATACAGTGTTCCATTTTGGGTGCTGCGCTTCAAGAAAAAACAGTTGGAGGAAGTTCAGAGAAGAGCAATGGGAATGATCACAGATATAAACAGCATGACTTCTGAAGAAAGAATGAGATTGGCTGGCCTGCAGAAGAAAAGTCAGGAGCAGAGGGACATGATAATAGCTTATAATTGTGTATGAATAATGGTATATGAAGAGGAAAGGAATAAACTGGTCTCTGTGCCAAGGGTGGGTAGGGTAAAGAACAGCACATTTAAAATACAGTAAGAAAGAGTCAAGTCAGATGCTAGGAAAAACTCTCTGATTGCTTGGGTAGCTTGTGGAATGTCCACCACTTGAGGCCTTTAAGAACAGATTAGACTACTGTCTGCCAAAAATGACATAAGTAGCGTTGGTCCTGCCTTGCAGCAGGGGGATAGACTAAGTGGTGGGGTGAGGTTCTTCCCAACCCTACTTTTCTGTGCTTCTGTGATTACAAAGAGCAAAGATTTTGTCTACGCTGATGTTTTAGTACCGGGTGCGTAGCATCAGCGATGTAGTCCTTCGATGGGACTAATTCTATGCTTTCAGTCAAGCACGTTCTGAAGCATGCAAATTTTGCTCCCTCTTGCAGGCATTTACACACTCTAATTACTTTGAAATCCTTATTGTTATGATATCCCATTAGCATGCAGATTAGTGGAGTAATTGGAAGGGGATTAACTTTACACATTTTTTTTCTAGCTTTTCCACCCACAACAGAGAATTCTTACACAGCACTACTGTAAATCGTAGTTATACCATTGGGATGTTAACATGACAAGCAAGGGAAGGGTAGATTTTCTGGATGGAGAAGGGACGTTTCAGTAATATATCATCAAAATAGGGTGAGAGAGAAAGAGGAAAGGAGAAGTGTGTTTTTCCTGCACTGTTGTTTGTACATCGTGGTCGTGGTCTCTCCTCACCTTTTCCCATGTCTCATTTACTTCTGTCAATCAGACTATCTTGTTATGGGTACATGTAAGAAGGGAAGGGAAGGGATGTATGTACAGTGTCCCATGTGTGTGCTGTAGAAGGGACACAGACTATCTGTTTTTGTAGTCCTCAAACTATTGCTTGGGCGTGTCTGCTATGTCTGCTGTTGAAAGCTTTGGAAGCCTCTTGGTTTCTGGATTCTCCACTGGGCACATCCAGCATTATCCCATCTCCCTTGCTCAGGGACTTGCATAGGTGCTGCGTTCAAACCTGATGACAAGCGTAGCAACCTGTTGCCCACGTTGGAAGAAAAAACCCACTGAAGGACACATGCCTCCTGCTTTTGCAGACAGAATCACAATGAACAAAGAAATTAGTAAATATTACTGAACCCGCTCTCGACATCATGCTATTGCCTTGGTCTGGTCCTGTTTGTCAAGTGTGGAAAAGTCAGCAAGTTGGAGTGTACTGCTGTGATCACTTCCAGTTTGCGTCTGGTTGATGCAGATATGTAGTTCAGCAAATAACTGGTGTATGCCTTTATTTAGGGTTCCCTGCATGCTGTCTTGTTGGAATGGTAGAAAACTTGATGAGGATATTTTGTTTTCTGTGCTGCAGTGGTGCGTTTGTTTGTTTGTTTGTTTGTTTCCCCCCCCCCCATTTGTAATGGTTGCCTCTTAAACTTCTCTTTCTTCTCTGAAAAGATACTTGCATTAACCTGCTCTATGCCTGTGTAGTTCATGAGACTTATATTGCATTTGCTGTTTAACAACTGTGAAGGTCCTTATGTCTGACATAAGCACTTATTTGTCAAGGCAGTGTGTGATACATTATCTTTATGTCAGATATTCCAGATGGTTGACTAATCACATGAGAAGTCATGCTGAAGTTAAGGTAAATAAGTATCTTTTTGCACTGGTGTCTGAAATAGTTTTATTCAAATTTATATTCACAGTCTTATTTTGGATAGCATCTTTTTGTGGCTTAGAAAGTGTGCTATTTATCACACATGCACATGCACACACACACGCACATGCGCGCGCACACACACACACACACACACACACAGAATCTGATGTAAAATTATGTGGAAAATAACAGTAAAAGAGAAAATGACTTTGTCAGTACTTAAAGCTACAGAGCTGATTTACCCACACAACTATTGTCAAAATGTTCTTTTCAATAGTACCTAGTAAAAGGATAGTGCAGCTCTGAAAAGTGATGTAGCAGTCAACTGTGTTCTTTTGGGTCTTTTTATTGACTTCAGTCTTGATTAAATTCTGGAGTAATGTCCTGGTTTTCTCAAAGTCGGTGGCACAATGCCCATTGTCTTAAGTGGAAACGTGCTTTTAACTGTAAGGGGGCAGTTCTCATTTGCAAAATCAGGAATGCATGGCTTTTAACTGTGTTTATGCACACATGCACCTGATGTATAATTTATGTGTATTCTCCTTTGCCTACAGCTGGTCTGTTTACATGCATGCTGACAACAAAATCTCCAATTTACATTAATGTATCACAGACTCCTTCTCACTAATTCAAAAAACGTTGAGTAAACTGACAGTAAAAAGTTAAAGCGATGCCAGGGCTTCACAAAACCCTTCTGTTACTGGGCTTTAGTAGGGGTAGTTTAACTTTCATTATTTATTAGAATATTGCACATCTAACAAAAACATTGGGCTATAGTAAAAAATTATATGAAAATAATCATAGGCAGGGTGACGTCTGACATCTGAAATCTTTGAGAGCTCGGGGGAAGAGATGGATGTTTTGGGGGTGAAGGGCTTAATTGCAAACTAAATAGAGTTGCAGAGAGTACACTGGAATGTGTCAGTATGCCTATGCTGTGGGCTCATCCCTATTTCTTACCTTGCTATTAGCCCAAACTCAATAACAATCTTCTCACAGAAGCCTCATGCCTGGGGTTATAAATATATTAAAAATATGCTTTGACTGGGCTTGCTTTGCTAGTTGGGATGTGTGGTAAAGCTTGACCCTTTCACTTTGTTTCAGGCTTTGATGCATCTACTTTACAGTTAGGATGTATCTAATGCCTGGTAGTTGAGCTTGGTTTCGGTAGTCCTGTTTTATCGTACTGCAGATATGCACACCACATAGGCACGCGTGCTTTAACTCTTCCCTCTCCTCCTCTCCCTGCCCCCACGTGACAACTTACTGGCTGACATATGTTCACATGGGGGTTTTGCCCTTAATTCTGTGTTTCCTCCATACTCCACTTACTTCATGACTTCGCTCAAAAACTCTTAGAAGAGACTGCTTGAAGGGTTTTATTAGCTGGGCAGTTAAGCATGCTGGTTAAACTCAGATGTGAGTGCAGCAAGATTTTTTGGAAGAGCATAGTAGTGTGAAAACATCATGCAGAAGCTGTGGAGGTGAGGATCAAGAGAGCAGTTTTCCAAGGCAGAGAGTACTCTAAAGACCTGCTAGTTATAATCACTGCAAGATCAGCAAATTTGTGCCCACCTGGTCCTGACTTGATGCTCTCAGAAACCTCACGTATATATGCACAGTCCTTCAAAACAGATTCTCGTGGGACAGCTCTGAAGGAGATCCTTGCAATATAGAACAACTTGTGGTACAGATGACAGTGCTGTGCAAGATGTGCACCCAGAAGAACTAGAAATTGTTCTGCAGTCTGTTCAAGGACGAACAGCCTTGAGAGAAGATGTCAATGGAACGAGACCTACAGCTAGGTAAGACGCTTTCGCGCTGACTTTCATTATCCTGGGGAAAGTGCAATGGCAGCATTAACGCTGTGAGGGATTTTTGCATCATAAACATGAGTTTACTTTTTATAGATGATGTTCTTAGCAACACGTTATCTTTAACTTCATTGAGTGCAG